ATTAAATTTAAGTTTTCTTGGACTTCCTTCCATGTCTCGAAGAAACGTCCATGTTGTTGGGACTATGCAAATTTGCTTAAGCAACCAGTTAAAAGACAAATGATTGATCAACTGGTTTACTTGGTTGCCTTAAAATCCCTACTATCAAGTTGTCTAATCACAACTAATCACAGCTGTCCTCCCCCCCCCCCGCCCCCGTCTACACACATTTGTATTCTCAGCACCACATTTAGAGTGCTATGAATTAGGAGCAGGAGGCTGAGTCAATAGAATCATTTCAGTGAAGAGCATTCCATAAACAAATATCACATTAAAAACTCTGCCTGGCACCAGCCAAGTTCTGGAAGTAGGCAAATATTTCTTATGAGGCACTTCAGAGTTTTTTTCACTTGAAAAATCAATGTTTTTACAATCTCCCAAAAGAATCAATGGCGTCTTTCTTCTCTCTTCACTTAGAATAAATGCTCTTTTAGTTTTCATGACCTACATTTCTTTCTTCAGTTTTTTTTTTTTTAAGAATGGGTGGCTCTGTGCATCCATGGGAGGTGGTATTAGGAAGTTTATTCCACAAGCCTGACAAACTTCGTCAATATGCAAACACAGAAACTAACCAGCAGTCGTAATTGCTTCAAGAATCACCCCATAGGCTGGAGAAGGCAGCTATAGACAGAGCAAACGGCTATAGCGGTTCTCACTGCGGTGATTCTCCAGATCTCGCCCCCTAGATTTTCTGACCCAGAAGTAAATATTCATCAGCCATCTCTTGATCACCTACCTAGTTTATGGCTGGAAGCAAAACAGAAGCCCTTTAATATCGGAAAAAGAATAGTAGAACAATGACTGCTCATTCCAACTTTTTCCAATTCTCTTTTAAGATCAGCACCATGAGAGAAAGAGAGTACAAACCTATGCCTTACAATCCAGAACTCCTGAAAATCCACCGTGAATTTCAGGGTCCAAATAGACATTGCTACAGTAGGCTATGGCTATCATTGCTCCATTTCTGTTCTGTTGCCTACCCCATATCAAGTAACTCAGACGTTACCTGGAGCCCTTCAAATGCTTTGAAATATAACCTAATAAATTCAAGCCGGTTTATTGACAGAAATAAATTAGGGAAGCCGTAATCCAAGACATCTGGGTTTGGAACACAGCAGGTTGACAATCCTGGCATAACTGAATACAACAGGGAGGCAGTGACACTGCATGGGTCGCCTTTACTGCTAACACCAGAATGTTTGGGTCAAGACAATGCAGAGTACAATGAAAACATTACATATTGTGGATGGGTTTACATATCACAGTAAACATTTCTTCCAGGTACAGACTTATTAAAGCCTTAAGCATGTCTTTTATTTCCCAGGATGGTTCTGGGCACCATAACCAGAAGTGTCTGAAAGAATGATAAAGTGAGCATTTTACTGTTGAAACACAAGCTCCATCATTTTGTATATACGTCATGGCATCATGCACACATTCAAAAAGGGTGGTGCTTTAATAGAATTTCACTAAAAGCAAAGTAAATATCAAAACGTTAAAAAAATGGAAAGTAAAATGAACAAATATAACCAAAAAGGCTATATGGTTTGTGTAATTAGGTCACAGCCAGTTTTACAGCAGTTGTAGATGATCTGTCTGTCTGTCTGTCTATCCCCATAGATGTTGAATAAACCACAACTGGATGGGTTTGAAGCCCTTAAGCCCTCAGACACTTTGCTTAACCCAAGTTCCATCTCCTATCGGATGTTTTTAGATTATTTTAATTAAATAAAAATTAAAAAGGAAGCCAGCATGCTCTGAAGCTTACTGCTGAACTTAAGCATGTATTTTATTTCTAAGGATGCTTCTGGGCACTGAATACAGTGGTATCCAAAAAGAGATAGGAAATGATGAAGTGATCCTTGTGCTGTTGTAATGCAAGTTCCGCCCCTTTTATATGTCTGTCATGAAGCTGCACACACATTCAAAAAGAGTGGTGTTTGCATCATGATGGTGGAACACTCATTTCACCGTTCTGACAAAAGTCCTGAATCCTTCAGATACCTCTAACTAGCACTTTGTTTGAAATTGTGCTTGCCTGCCTAGAACCAAGAGAAAAACTGAGGTGATCTCCAGGGAGCATCCAAGGAGATTAAAGAGGATAGGCTGGGAGCAAACCCACCAGTTCTCCTTCTAATAAATGGATACATACCTGTCATGGCAGCCATTTTGTGAAAGTGCTATTCAAATAATCAACATTCCAAATGTCCTCACTTGTCCTGCACTAAGCCTTAATCCATGGTTTAGCAACCATAGTGATTTGCACATCATGCTAAATCAAAACCAAAGCAACCATGTCATCCATGAAAACAGCCAACATGTTCAAATCACCATATGATTTGTGGGGGAACAAAAGCAACACTGAATAACTTTTCTATCTTTGGGACAAATAAGATGTCAAGATGAATCTCAACCCAGAGCTTGTAGCAGTTCGCTTGTGCCCCATTCCTAGGCTATTAGTCCTCTGACTCCCAAAAGTCAGGCAGGCTAGGCTTAAATTCCAGCTTGAAAAATGAACCTGACCTTCCAATCTGAATCCAAATGATCCAAGGCAATCAGGAGAGAACCAGTCTTATAAAGTTTTTGCAACCAAGTATGTCAGTTGAGGTTATCAGTTTGAATACTTTGTTTTGACTCCTTCTATACTTGACCTTACCCTTACTGAGGGCTGCTTTGGATGGTGACACCTGCCTGCCTTTGAACTCACATCTACTGAACCTTTTAAAATTGTTATTTTGTCTCTCTTCATTTCATGCTTTCTCCAAAATAGGTTCCCCTAGCATGATATCAATATTAAGACAAAGTAAAGCAACCCATAAGGTAACTATCCCCAGCTCTGTGTGAGTGTGTGTGTGTGTGTGTGTTGTGTTGTACAATGTTGTCATGATGAATGTGTCATTATCATGACTTGACCTAGATACCTATGTATAGAGAGGGTTGTTTAGAAAGGCTGGTTTCAAGAAAAAGCCATTATAACTCATGTCTGGTTGGGTTCCCTCCTGGTCACCCTCCAGTGGCGCTCTAGGCATCTCTTCACCCATTTCATCTCCCTCAGCAACTCTGTAAAGCAAGGGGGGAGTCTTGGAATCCACAAGAAGAGAGAGGCCATATGGGCACAATCTGATCCAAAATCCCCGCCATCCTTGTTCTAGGCAGGAATGGGGACCTCAGCGGGATCATGCAGCAGGCCATCAGGCACAAACTCAAGCTCTTTCTGGACCAATCTAATAGGTCCAGCCTCCCTGCAGCAGAAGGCAGTGGATTAACACATTTGAACTTATTCAGCTCCCTTGCCCATATTTCATCCAAAACAAGCGAGCTGGTGCCCTGAGGTGTCCATCAGGGGCTTAGGACTTATGACTTCAACCCCCATTTAGCCTCTGACCAATAGTAAGGGAAATATGAGCTGTAGTTCAAAGCACCTGATGAGCCCCAGTTTGCCTAATTCTCATGAAATATGAGCAAGAGAGCTGAGCAAGCAACATTATTACAACAATAATGCCAGTATAGCTTCAGTGAGTGCACTGTTCTGGCACAGTTTTCTTCTTACACCACGCTTATAGCTTCCTCCAAAAGCAAGAACAAACCCAGTCCTACCATCCCATTGACTGACTAATCATGTGTCATCAAGTTGTTTTCAACTCCTAGCGACCACCTATATAGATTTTTTCCATGATGATCTATCCCTAACCTATTCTTTCAGGTCTCCCAATGGTGTGCTCATTGCCACTATAACTGAGTCCATCCACCTTACTGCTGGTCATCCTCTTCTTCTCTTTTCTTCCATCTTTCCCAGGATTAGAACCTTTTTCAGAGAGCTAGGTCTTCGCACAATGCGTCCAAAGTAGGATTACCATCCCATAGCAAGGCAGAATTACTAAGTGAGGACTTGTTATCCAACTCATAGAACATATTCAGACTAGGGTTCACATTGCCTCTTGACTACATTGGGAAGTTTTCTGGAGCTGCTACAACAACGGTCACAGGGTAGAGCAATCAAGCAGCTACTTCCTACCAGTTCAATTCATTCTTCAGTAAACCACCGTATTAAATGAAAAAACCATGTGAATTACTAAGTATATTGCATCAGGATTAGTTATTGGAGATGCATTTTTTCTTTTCTCTTTTCTCTTTCCCTCTCTTCCAGATACAGTTTAAATAAAAGTGAGGCTTTTCTAGACTCATGCATTTCTTAACAAACCTACATTTTTACTTCAAATATAATAAATGCCTGTTAACAGTCACTGATAGTGCAGTATTTTTGTTGAATGGTTTTTGTACGTGAGCTGCTGACTGGGTATATATGTTTTTTTTTAATGCTTTTTTTTTAAAATGGGGGGTGGGGGGTTATATCGCTTTTAAATGTTGTTAACCAGCCAGAGTCATGTATTTGAGATGGGTGGCCATATAAATTGAAATGAGAGAGAGAGAGAGAGAGAGAGAAATCCCATATTCTGCATCCCAGACAATTTTACCATGAGCATTTTATTTTATTTTTAATAGGGTGTTCTGCAACTTAACTGCCCGATATTCTTTCAGTGCTTTGCTTATGCTGAGGAGTACATCTGTAGCAAGGGCTCCTACTAAATCCAAATCTATGTCACTAGTACAGATGGAGGGTGGCAGTCACATCCATAGTTAAAAGAGTGGAAGCTCTCTTTACCAGTTCTTACTTGTACCAAAGAAATACACCAATATTATTATTCTCTGCTTATCCGGAATTCGTAACCCAGCCTTCCCTTAGTCTGGTTGCTCTCCAGATGCATGGGCTTCAGCTCCCAGAATATCCAGCTGCATAGTCAATGCCTGGGAGTTGAAATCCACACTTCTGGAAGGTACCCAAGTTGGGGAAGGCTGCGCTCCTGCCTCATAAAATTAGAATCAGCATGAGCTCTAAGTTAAAATTATACTGTATGTATAATGTGTGAAAGTGGCCCACGAGTAAAAATATCAGTGCTTACCAGATTCTGAAGTAGTTTCATTTTCTGATCCACCAAATAAAAAGTCATATTTGGCCTTGGCAACACTCTGGGAATGAGCTGATGCACCATTAACCCAAACAAATGTTTCTCCCTGCAGACAAAAATAGAATGAAAACATGTTCAGTTCACCCTGACACCTCCTACTAGCAATCCCCATCTCAAAGCAACAGAAATAGGAATTTCAAAAATACATATACTGGCTTTAAAAGTATTTAAAAGAGAGAGAGAATATTTGGGAGATTTGTTTCCAGCAACAAGCAACAGCCGTTTTTTGTAGTGTATTGCTTTTCAGTAAAACTGCTACAGAATTAACATACCCATCCTAGTCACATTGTCTTGAAAGGAAGGATTGCTGTACTAAGTCTTCATTTCTCCTTAAAAATCAAGGATTTTTGCAGCCTTCTGAGTAATTTATATTTTTATGTGAATGACTGAAAATGGCAGATCACCTGAGAGATGTTGTAATTCCAAGCCTATTTGACACTACAGTCTTCTGCAGAATAGAGATAGGTAAATTTTGCTGTTGGATCATATCAGATTGGTTTGGAAGCACCTATGTTTTTATTTCAGATCTTAGGATCTATGATTCTGTTAAATTCTGGACCAAATTCAAAGTGGCCATCAAATTGTGCACCACTCCTGAATGGGGAAGTGCAGCCCCATCCAAGATTAAATATGGAAAATTCCCTGATCCAGGTAGCCCTAATACCCACAACCACAATCTTGGTAGGATTGAGTCACAGTCAGTTCCTCTCAAACCAGGCCCACACAGTCTCCAAAGCACTAGGACAGAACCTCAACAATCTCACTTGACTGGTTTGGGGTCGACAGATTTAATTGGGCATCATCAGCGTACTGATGATACCAAACCCCAAAGCTGTGGATGACCTCGCCCGGAGATTTCACATAGATGTTGAACTCATTCATATTTAGCTATGCTTTGTTGCACAGAAGTTAAGGCATCAAGCTAGAAAGCAGGAGATTGCCTTAGGCATGAAAGCTGGCTGGGTGACTTTGGGCCAGTCACTCTCTCTTAGCCCAACTCACCTCACAGGGTTGTTGTAAGGACAATAGGAGGAGGAAGGAGTATTAGATATGTTTGCCGCCTTGAGTTATTTATAAAAATAATAAAGGAGGGATAAAAACTCTTTAAAAAAAAAAAGGATGTTACTGTAAAACATTTTTACAGGTAGTCCTCGACTTACG